AAATTGGAGATGTTTTCGCCTTCAGCTCTCATCAACAAGAGTGTATGATACAATTGAATTATTTACCGATGTTAGTCTAATCATACTTCAGTCCACGAAATGATAATTGCAGCTTGTGCATGCAATCATCGTATTCCCATCTTTTTCAGATTTATCATTCGATAGTTTGGGTTAATTCCCCTTTTGCCTCAGAATGGATTATTTTTCTTGGTGATATATTTTAATCAATGTCCAATTTAAGACAACTGTGTGGCGATTATTACATTACAAGTATCTCGGAGTTATTCATTCATCACACAAAACATACATTAGTCGATGTTACCTGAAGGACAGTAGGAACCGAGGGTTGGTAAATTGTATTTACCTGTACTAAATTATTTACAAAATAATCCTACCTCAAAAGATAAAGATGGTCAATCACAGAGGCAATTAAGTGATTCAATTCTATTTAATTTTGATTTTATATTTGCATAAGGATGACACTTTTAAAGCAAGTTATAAATGAATGTGGAACTGTATGCACACGTACCAAATGGAAAGGACCAAAAATCGTTTCGGAACACAGCAAGGAAAAATATCTATAAGTACACAAACCATAAAGTCATAAAGAAAACAGGGAGAATGAACCTTCAAGTTTCAACATAGGTTTTAATTCTACTTTAACTGAGACAAATGTTTATAAGTATAATAAGTATCATAGGGTTACAAAGTTACAAAAAATTATGTTTTGATATAAGTATAAAATCACATACTTGTGTCAGTAACACCCCATCCATAAAAAACATTGTACTGAATTCACTTCTTAAAAACGTATATGGTTATTATGGTATGGATGAATTCACTGCCCTCCTAAAAAGTAGTGTATTGCCCATCCTGTACAAGCATTGATATTAACCACATCGCCTTCTTTTCCAAAGTATCGTATGCTTCTAAAAGTAAACTAAGAATATCTACTAACAAGAGATTCTTGCAAAAACATCTATTCATTCCGTTTTCATTTATTGTCATTTGAAATCACACGAGCGTTAAACATTCCCAACTGATTATTCTTTGGAGCCAAGATCAACTTAATATTTTATAATGATATCTGAGAGATCAATGTAGTATTTTGTATTGAGAAAGATACATCCTGGAATTTTTTTAATTGAAAGTGGACTTTACTGTGTGAACTTACACCAGTGTAATCCATCATCATCAAAGTGACGTTTCATCACAATTTTTACTTTTACTTCAACACTAATAAAGACATCCTCTTTGACCAATTCGACAAACATGTCATTTGGGTCGGCGAAACAATGAAAATCCAACACGTTCACCTCGATTTCTAATTGCATAATGGGATTATATATAAAACTGTACAAAGAAAAGTTTTTCTCTGAAGTCTCATCTAAAATGACATACTGATCTCCTGGATCATCTTGAGACAATTATTCATCCACCAATGTGATCGATTGTTGAACTCTGCCAACCTGCAATCTTAGCTTTGAGCGTCCTATTTGAATTGTAAGTTCTGAAATGTCGTTGTTCAATAAGAACTCATTGTTAAGATGAACATTTAAACTATTGTTTGAGGTTAAGAGTGTTGTAATTCTCTTATTTGACATTTATCGCAATCATCTCAGTAAGATTTTGATTTGAAGGATCAAGATATAGTTAGGCTAACTTGTAGTTAGTTCTTGGATGTTGTGATATAACAATGAAAGACGCCATGAACAAAATCAATCATCTATTAATCATGAATGGGGAATACTCTTAATCATCTGAGAGCTAACCAAGATCGCAACCCCAGTGGGTGTCATAATATGAATTCAGCAAGTGTCATATTCATGTATTCAGATATCGTATCCTGGATAGGGATTGTTCTGTTTTTCAATTGATTATGTATGGAATTAAAATATAGAAGGGATCCCTAGCTGATCTACGAATAGGACCCTCGTTTAAATTTAATATCTTATTTATTGAAATTGGATTCTACCATACTATACCACATGAATCTAATTGTTGAGACTCGATTAACTTGGGTTCTCTGATAATGAGGATTTTGTATCAATCACCGTGATGATATCACCAAGTTAAGTCAATGTTGTGTATATCCCCGTGTTAAAGTCAATACACCCTTGGTGTAATCCTCATTAATCTCAGTAAAATTCGAAAATTGAGTTACCTTAAAGTAGAGTTTGATGTTAAATGACATGAGCATCTTTTAATGATACATAAGTAACTTTATCTAAAAATTGATTGGAAAGATATTCTTTGGTGGGCGCTAAAATGATTTCCGTCTCTTGTTTGGGTTCCTGGCCAACAAACAATGTAATTTCTGTATAGCCTGATCCAACTTACTGTAAAACACTTAAAATCCACGTGCACTTAATTTCCCGTTTTCGAGGGTGACACAACATCGCGAAAATTAAATGCACGTGAAAATCTGATGCTTTATTGTAGAACACAATATGAAATATGAAATGTCCAATGGAATGAAAAAAATGAAAAGTCTTACCTTGATAAGCGCCCACCCGCTTCAGAGTGTTCAAGAAATATCGAAGAAGGGCCAAGAATAAACGAATATATCAAAAAAAAAATTCTAAAGAAATATAGAGTACTTACACTAAAATGCAGAAAATGTGTAAGGTTTTCGTCTTTGTGTAGGTGCACTCCTTTGATTTCTAAGAGTTTTACCAAATGCTTGGGTAACTTAACATAACCAACGGCTACAGGTTTTACCTCTCACTCTTAGTCATAGACACCAAAACCACAGTCTTGATATTGCTTTAGATATTACTACCCATTATGTAGGCTACTATATTTTGGCAGCCATCTTGACGGATCGTGGATCACTGTTCAATATGCTTAGAATTGGTCACATATCCATTCCAGATGGCGAAAGGTTTTCTTTCTTTTTATAATTAAGCACACTAAAGCTGCTAAATTGTCCTTATCTCATATTGGTGGCCATCTTGAATTCTCATTTAAAGGAAGGCATTAATGATTTAAGTTAAGAAAACTGAAGACAGACACTTAAATCACTGTTTAGCCCTAATTACCTACATTTTTTATATATAACTACTACGTAAGTTACGTATTAGGGCAGTTTGACCGTGGGTAAAAGTAGAATCCCTGACACCAAACTCGCTATCCTAAATGCTCTATCTTCTTAGATAAAGTTACCATTTTATTTTAACGGCTGTTTTGAAGCCATCTTTGACTTCCATATAAAGTTAGGCTTACATGACTTGGGTAAAGACAAACCCGATAACGTTAACTGACCCCTTAACTTCGTCACAGACACCAACTATCACTGTTGTTATGTGCGGTAAACACGAGATAAACATATTCTGCAGTTGAATATTTCATATACCGCTGGTGAATATGACATTCTAATAAGAATGCGTTACGGAAGTACACAACAGTTTATGAGATATTATAATGATTACTGAATCATTCAACAAGGCAGTGCAATAAATAAAACCAATGTATCACATATATAAGGGTTATGTACTGGGAGGTTTTGGATACCGGGTTTATCCCAAGGGAAATATGTGTATCTCACGAGGGACCGCAGGGACCGAGGGAGATACACATATTTCCCGCGGGATAAACACTGTATCCAAAACCGACCGTACATAACTGGTGTATCTCATACTTGAGTGGGTTTGGGGTAGATATAACCTTTACCACCTTTTTCAAATGACAAGATAGGCCTATACTGTAAAAGCACAATTTATATTTAACATTTTCTTAATATTCCTTCAGTTCAATACAATAGAATTGTAACATTTAAACTTTTTGAAAAATTTTAAACTTCTGAAATTTAAATTTTTAAAATTTTTAAACTTTTTTAAACTTTTGAAAAAATTCCCGGGAGCGGGATGGATATATTATATCTGCCCGCATTTGCCCTAGAGCGGGACATATACAATATATCCTGCCCGCTCCTCAGATATGATATATATTCCCGGGTGATATCTACCCCAAACCCACTCAAGTATGAAATACTCACCTTTATCCGATGCCAAGAATTGTTTTAGGGAGATAAGTTGGTAAGATATATCCCATATCCTGATTTTAAGGTTTCCATATCCAGAACCTCCATATCTCCCGCTTCAGTGCGATAAAATGACTTTGCATATGAAAGATTTGTTTATTTTTACACCTTGTACTATTGAAATTGCCATATGCCCCTGAAAACTCTACTTGGTATAGGATAAAGCAGTTATGTATGGTCGGTCTGGATATTCGGTTCATCCCTCGTGAGATATGCACATCTACCTTCGGTCCCTACGGTCCCTACGGTCACTCGGGTAGATATGCATATCTCCCTCTGGATAAACCCCATATCCAAAAACTCCCAGTACATAACCCTTATGTATCGCAAATACCGCGCGACAATGGACATAATAGAGAGGTTTCGCACAACGTTTTTTAGCGCAACGTATCCGTATCCGTAACGTATTTACCAGATTTATGCGCAGTCCGTCCAATTTATACGTGCAGCAATACGGAAAACACGAAAAATGAGGCTTTTGTACGTTGGTCATTTACGCATCCCATTTTATCATACAATTACATTGATTTTAGTTCCAAAAGTATCACTGTATGAACAAACACATTGTGTTGTTCAATATATGACTTAGATTTGGTGAATGGATTTGTTTATTGTTTGACATAAATCGAGTTTTCCAAATGGTATGTTCAATTCATTTTACACTGTGTGGAATGGTATTACAATAATCACAGTGTAGTTGCTTCGCACAACGTTTCAGCTGCCCGTATCAAAATCCGTAACGCATCGATGGAGCAAATGTGGACTCAATACGTTTGTGTTATCGACTGCAATACCGAAAGTACGTAAAGTTGACACTTTTGTGCGTAGTTGTTTCCGCATCTATTTTTGTCCTTCAAATGTTTATCAATTTCCCCTAAATGTTAAATTTAAGTGACCTACATAATGTTTAGTGTATATCGTGCTAATTTTGATGAAAGGAACCAGGCTAATTAGTCAACTAATTTGATTTTGAGTGAGTGGCCTGCAAATCGTACTTATAAACAGCACAATGAGCCTTCAATATTCATCCATAGCGCGTGGACTGCTGAACATCATGTCTCAAGATCAAGAAAGCGCCAAAAAACGTGTTTACTTTAGACTCAAAGACGACTTAGTCTTAGTGCGTTCTTCCCTGGCAAGAAATCCATGGGAGAATCCTCCCAATTGGGAGGCTGTTCGCCTCGACGTGTGTAAAAGTCTCCACGTTGATAGTTTACGAACTATTCGTGAGAGGATGGAACTCCTCATCAAATCGTTCAAGAGGGAGGACAGATTGCGGAAATCCAAGTAAGACGAAACGTTTTATGATCTTATCTCCCGGATTTAATCTTTAAAGTTTCAATATTCTTGTAGGTCATTTAGGTATTAATATAAGTACATGTAATTATATCAATTATATCAATATCAAGTTAGCAATTGTATGATTGGCCATACACGTCTTCTTATCAGACAAGGCAATCACTGAATACCTAACGATAATTAATGCCATCATCTGTGTATATCAAAAACCCATGCACAATTAGCATGTTACACCTAAGCTGTCTTTGGCAGGGCCGTCAGATGGGGGGGGGGGGGGTTCTATGGATGCGACTGCATACCCCCTAGACAACATCTTATTCAGTCTTAATTTTTTTTGAAATTTGGAATGAAAATTCTCATTCAGTCTATTGGATATAGACTAGCACCCCCCCCCCCCCCGATAAAGAAATTGCAAAATTTTCTAGAGGGAGTGGGCCACCCTCACACCCCCACAAAACAATTGAAGTTATTTGATACATTGTCTAAGACACTTTTAAAGTGCCCAGACATCATCAAATAGCTCCTTACTATAGTCAGCATTTAACACTTGCTTCCTCTCTAGCACCCCCACCTCACCTCCACCTCTTAGTATGTATCTAACAGACTGACTATAGAAGTCAGTCTGTTATGATGTACTACTGTCCTGTGGAAATTGCAGTGAAATTTTCTGCCAAAAATTATCAATTTGAGGAAGCATTAGTTAAAAAAACAACATTTTATCACTTCAATTAAGTAGTAAGGTACAATTAATTAAATGCAATAATAACACAGCATATTAGGTGGAAATAAAGCTAGTTGAAGTAACAAATATGCAAATTAATTCACTCCCGCCATTTTGAATAGCCATTTTGAATATCACTTCCTATGTAAACAAATAGTTTTTATATGTATAGTCTGAATATTATTCAGACTAAATAGGATATAGTCTACTCCCCCCCCCTGGTTCCCTAATTTACACCCCCCCCCCATAAAAAGTCAATGTGTCTTATTGAATCATACACTTTGAAAGTTCCAAGAAAGCACAAGATAGCATTTTAAAATTGTAACTTTTTCTAGGGGGACCAATATACAAAACAATTGAAAATTTTGAATTTATTTTATGTTTTTTTCTCAGATACGTTTAAAGTTCACAGACACCATTTAATAGCACCTTGATATGGTCAATGTTTCTTGGAGACAACCCCTAGCTCCCATCTGGCACCCCACCTCACTCTCTGGCATCCCGCAATAAAAGATCATTTTATTGACTCATACACTTTGACAGTGCTCAGAAAGCACCAAATAGCATCTCAAAAGTGTACAATTTTCTAGGGGGAGCGGGCCACTAATCACGTCCCCATAAAACAATTTAAAAGCTTGGAAGTTGCATTTGTTCAATGCCCAGAATTAACATCAATAGCACCTTGATATGGTCAATATTTATTGGGGACAAACAATAAAGTGTGCCCAGAAAGCACCAAATAGCATATTAAAATCGTAAAATGTTCTAACGTAGTGGGCCACCCCACACATCCCACCAAAACAATTAGAACAATTCTGAATTCCATTTATTGTCTCAGACACTTTTAAAGTGCCCAGATATCATCAAATAGCACCTTCATATGGTCAATGTTTCTGGGGGACAACCTATTGCTTCCGATCCCCTCTGGCACCCCACCCTAGCTCACCTTCTGAACCTCTTTGACTCAATTCAATTTTATTGACTCATACACTTTGAACGTACCCAGAAATCACCAAATAGCATCTCAAAAGTGTAACATTTTCTAGGGGGAGCGGGCCACTCCTCACATCTCTATAAAACATTTGAAAAGTTTGGAAGTTGCATTTGTTAATTTAAACAGTGCCCAGAATTAACAAAGTGACATAATGAAATCATCAAAATTTGTGGCGGCCCAACCCAAAACTCAAACATTCATTTACTCAACAGGTACTCTGAACACACATCAAAAGTTCTTCGAATTAACCGGTCAGTATCTTGAATTCGAACATGACTGTATTCACACCTTTTATGACGTCAACATTTCACCCGGGGTATATTCGCCAACAGTACCCCTGTTAATACGAGTAATGTGTGACCTCATAACGGCGGGCCGTAGTAATGGCGGAAATTTCAACGAATATTTGAAAAATGTTGGTGAATTTTCATGGTCGAAGTAATATAGACCTCAGAGCAGGTGTTGTTATATCGACGAATATACCCCGCAGGGCTAGGCACAAACGTTTTCTATACCCTGAACGACCGAAGGGAGTGAGGGGTTTGAAAGCTTTTGTGCCTAGCCCTAAGGGGTACATTCGAAGATATTTCTTAAATATCGAATATATCAAAAATATCGAAATTGCTTAGAACCTGGATAAACCTCACCCTGATGATTGAAAACTACTTGTCTAATTTCAATCGTGTTGGAATTGTAAACCTTATTCAATTACCTCTCCAAAAAGTAGGTCAACAAAATCGAGAACAACTTGACTTAAGGGTATTTTTGACATTCTGTTTTGATGCTTTTTCTATGAAAGGAAAATTGTTTGGTGCCAAAATGCTATAATTCTTAAAAGAATAGTCCATTATTGTTAAAATAAATCAAAAAATCAACGTCTGTCAAGCTTTTGTATAACTCAGCTATGCACTTTCAATTGAAATTCAATTGAACGCAATTGTATTGTCAGCAATTTTTCCATTCATATTTGCAAATATAGTATTACAAATGCCACTCGGTGTTTCAGTTCGGCAGTAGACTAATACTTAACTTGGTAGATTCCGAATATTTTTGGTCCATGACTTAGCCAACCAACCACCAAGTAACGGCATATAAATCGAATTGGTGAAGTTGAAAAATTGGGAGAGGGAAAAAAGATCTGAAATTATGATCAGATAAATCGTTGCACAAATGTTCAGGAACGTGCAAAAATAATAGCTATTCATCAAGCAGTTTTTTGAAAAACTGTTATCTCTCAAATTCGGGAAAAACGCGACTCGCGAGTTCATGCTTTAAATAGTAAATAGTGGCTTGATCGGGGGTTTGATTTTCATGAAATAAGCATGTGGGAAAGGAAATTCAATATGCTGAATGACTGTCTATCAGACACGCCATAAATAATGATCACTTTGCTTTTTCCACAGTATTAGGACAAGGCAACTATATCGACTTTCTGTTCATTGGCATCAAATTCCGATTATCATAAATATGATCTTCCTCAATCAAACTGATTTCTACGCTAAAATGTGTCATTTATGTGCGGCTCAAGCTAAAAATGAGGGATTCACAAAATAACGTGCATAAAAGAACTCATTAAAACAGAGGAGTCAATTTGACCACCGTTCTCCATTTGCAGACATTAGGGTCAAGCATGTATTTTCATAAATGCGCCTGAAAATTTATCTCGTCTTAAACTTAACGCTTTTAGATCTGGTACTGAAGAGGAATATGACGAGATGTCACAAATGTTGACTGAAGTGATTTCCCTAAAAGAAGATGTGGAAATGGAAAGAACAAAAACAAAAAAGAAGAAGGAAGAAGATCAAGAAAAAGATCAAAAGAAAGTGACTGAAATTCTAGAGAAGTCGATGAACACCCTTGGTAAACAAACGAAATCGCCTCAATCAAGCCCTTCTAAGAAACGACTCTGCAAAAGAGGTAAGACCCAAACAGAATGACAGAATTATTTAAAAATCTATACAATCTGGGTATTTATTGTTCTGCATTTAATTAAATTAATATGATATACGAACAACACATGCCGGTGTAAAAGGGTAGGAGGTCCTATCAAATTATGGTCCTACTCTCCATTGATTTATATGGTGACCTAATTACAACTCTTTCCCTTATTATCTTGTACACAATCAGGGCCAGTAAGGGCCGTTAGGAAAGGGGACCATAATCCCTGGGGGACCATAATTTCTTTCACAATCATGAAACACTATTCATCCTTTACAATTCAAAAGAAGTGTTTCAATGATTTTTTATCCAAATCTAATCACATAGGATAACATGCATACGTTTCTGTTTTATGTGTTGTAGGTAACTTCTTAGAGGAATACCTCACCAGAAAAATTGAACTTGAGGAGAGGAAATTTGCACTGGAAGAGAGAAAATGGAACGCAATGAATCCCAAGAAAGACTGATGATGTGGGCATACTGACATTAAAACGTCCGTGTCTGTAATTTTAATACTAAATAGCCACATTTCAGTACTTACTTTAGTTCAAACATTTTTTCTCGATTGATTATTTCGGCAGCACTTTTGACAAGTAAAAAATCTTGTGCATACGGATTTGATGTTTACTTTAAAATTAATAGCACTTGTTGTCTAATTCAACAAGCCTTACAGATCAATATTATCAGTAAAATATTCTGGAATGGAAAATTAGGATTAGACGTACATACTCATAGATGGAGACTTTAACATCAGTTTGATGTGTACTGTTTTAGTTACTTCTTTTTATTTGTTTTATTTGTCCTCATGGCAAGTTAAATTCATATTTTATTATTATGAACGCAAAAAGATGAAGGTACAAAATGTTACTTTTAAAAAGACTAATTCCTTTAAACGCACTGATCACCAATCATCTCAATCATTTAAATTAGCTAACTGCTAATGCTCCTCTTGTTCTAAATTTTGTTACGTATAAAAATGCTGTTTACTTGCATATAACATTTATTTTAATTATACATATACATATACATTATACATGTAGCACGGGTTGTGATCGAAAGATTTGTCCGCTATGTTGTGTCATGTTATTTTTCATAAAAACACTAAGAAAACGTCACAATTTTTTGAGTCATATGCTTCGTTATACCAAAGAACCTCAACTTACCCTGTGCAATAGGTACACCATTTGCAAGTAACCTTTACTTTTGTTTGAACTACAATAACGCTAGGAGCAAAATCTATTGAAAACAGCTCTAGAGTATCATACTCTAAAACGTACCAATTATTTTCTAAATTTTCAATTGCACTGAACACAGTGACATGATAATATCGCATATGTTTTAACTTAACTATGGGGGTATTAAGAGATCTAGTATAGATGAATTTTAGTATTTTTAATTTGTTCTTTTTAATTTGTTAAAAATGATGTCTAGATTTTTGTCCTCTATGGAGGACTAGTTGCAAATGTGAGATGCATCAAAGTTCCCAATATATTACTTTTACAGCTACACTTTAGGAACGATTTGATTTTGGGAGGGAGGTTTGATACGTTTTCTCTAAAGTGTAGTTCAAAAGATATATTATGAATCTTAATGTACTTCACATTTGAAACTGTTCTTCCATAGCGGTCAATAATTTAACATTATTTTTTATTAAAATAAATAAAAACGACCCATTACATCCAGATCTCATTAATACCTTCAGGGTTATGCTGAAGATATGGAAATATTATCGTATCACTATATCGTGCCATTAATAAGAAATGATACATTTAGAGTTTGATTTTGTCGTTTCCAATAGCTTTTACTAGCGTCATTGGACGTCAAACAGAAGTTAAGGTTACCCGCTACTGATTAATCTCATTGCACGGAGTAGGTGAATTTCTTTGGTATAATGAAACATGTGAGTTAAATATAAATTGTGAAGTTTTCTTGGTGTGTTTTAGAAAAATAGCATGCTCCACCACAGCGGACAGATTTTTCGATTCCAATCAGCGATATGGTGTTTTTGCAATAATAAAGTTGTTTAATTATCAATTGTTTTAACAGTTGACAGTTTTCTATGATTGTTCATGTTTAGTCTCAAAATGTTTGGTTTGTTACACAATCATGTTCATCTATGAATGTAGTATTCAAGTAACAGAGGTTCAGTGTTAAAGTAAGTATTCACTTGACTACCATAAAGGCATGTATGCACATTGGTTAAAAAAGCTTCATTTTTGTAATACTTAGCTATTGGAGATAAAAGTATTTTGAGATTCTTTTTAAAGTCCAAAAAAGCAAATTCCCTGATGATTTTTCCGAAACCCCATTCAACGCTTTCCCTCACAGAACTCATACTTCTATTGAATTGGGCCTGTTGAGGGGTCACATCGGGTCCTCTAAATTGGGTAATAAGATGGGGAGTTCGGGGGTACGCGGGGTCTCCATAAATCGACATGGGTTCCCCGTTAGGCAGGCTTTTTGTTTCAAGTGCATCCAGGATATTACTGCGACGCAGCATTGAGGCATCGTGCCGGGACCCCTCAACAGGCCCATACAAATTTGTAATAATGCCATTGGGTAATATGATAGACTGAAATTTAAGACAGTGTTCCCTTTTATGCCCACTGTAGAAATGACGCTGCCCTTCCTGTGGACGAGCACATGGTCTTGGAGTCCCATCAATAAAACCGCAACAGTTTATAAGAGGGGCATCTTTAGCCTGAATCGCGCGAGCATATCGTTGTAAATCTGGAATGGTCATCCATGGCTGGTTAAACTCTGTTAAAAGAGGTCCAAAAGTTGTCGACAGATCCATACCAAACATCCCATTGATGTCCCACAGTCGATTTGGGTACACAGGACGGCGAAGTAAAAGGCACAAGCCCTCGATGCCACTACACGAACATCGGTTATAACCAGTGAATACGTTTGGTAACTCCATGACCTGAGATATCCTGAATAGATCATCTTTTTCAAATCGAAACAAGAGACTGCACTCTTCATTTGATAGTCTTTCTAGATTTATTCTGAATGCGTTAATACCATCACGCCTATCTTCCTCAAATAAGTGATATAGGAGGAGTGTTTCCTCGTCATCCTTGTCATCAATAATAGCGGCCGCGGTGACTGGGTCAATGCCTGCCATATGTACAGTTGTCGAAGATCACACTACTAGAATGAAATAAAATAGTGAATTAGGCTAACTACTATTACCCCATGGTTACAATGATATAGATCGAATATTACTTGAAAATATAATTGATATTTGGATCAGGATATCATATTTTAGCAAAGAATTCCCAAACAATCGAATATCACTCCTTAAAAAGAGGCAAAGCTGGTTGAATGGGGTATGCTATTTAGGATTGGTACTGAATGGGGATGGGACTGCTGTCAACGTATCTATAGTTCGTCAGTATAAATACCTCGAAGTTATATTGTATACCATAGAAAATATAGTCTGGTAACATGCATCCTTGGACTATATATCCCGGTGTAAAAGGGTAGGAGGTCCTATCAAATTATGGTCCTACTCTCCATTGATTTATATAGTGACCTAATCACAACTCTTTCCCTTATTATTTTATACACAATCAGGGCCAATAAGGGCCGTTTGGAACGGGGACCATAATCCCCAGGGGACCATAATTTCTTTCACACCGGGACTATATATTCAGGGAGATTATAGTATATTCACTCTTGACACCCGAAATGATCCAGAGTTTTTCTTCCAATGTTATCCCATGTTTAGAGACAGAATGTACTATTATTCTATGTTCACGAAATGATATGAGGGGCAAAATAACATAAATCGATATTGCCAAATTACACGACAAAATCTTACCTTTTTGAGAAGATATAACTGTTGTGTTACTTCCACAGGAAATGAATGTTATTGTCAAGGTCACGGCTTGAGATACGTTTTGTGGATTACGTGCTAAAAAAACGTACTGCGAAACGAAAATTTTCGAATAACGTATCCGTAAACGTAACGAGATACGGATGCGGATACGTTTTAGCAAACCCGTTGTGCGAAACCTCTCTACTATGGCATATTCCGCGTAACAACTGTCGTAAATGCTTCAGCTTATGTATCACGAAATATTCAATTAGGCGGCCATATAGACTTAAGGTCTATTCATGATTGAAATTCCTAACCCCTTAATCCCAGTCATAAACACCAAAATTACAAAAATACTATCAAATATTAGTATTTATTAACCATATTCAATGTGCCAAGTTTCATGACGTAATTAGAAGTAGCTCATAGAGGTCACTTGCAAAATCTATTGATCATCCCATGTATATCACTCTTTGCAACAGTTAATCAGACATTGAATCCTGGATAAGGCTTATAGATTCTCATTGATTTGGTTATATGTATCAAATATCAAATGGGAGGTTGTTCTTTTATAAAGGGGTCATATAACTGCTTATTGTTTCATTTAATCATACTGGCGGAACTGGATTTAAACGAAGTACATTTGATAAATGCAGACGTAATATGCGATTTACACCGAAGCGTGCATTTTCCAGTATTAGTAAGATGAAATATCATACCCTGCCATTAGCGGTCTTCGTGTTTCATCACATTTGAAATTTCCAATTACAAATTACAGTATTCTTGATGAATAGCCATTAGTTGTTGTAATGAGTTCCTAAATAGGAGTCACTGGCTAACAAATTGAAGAGTTACTGGCAGTGTTTTATTGCATAATGTCAAAGGAAGAAATTGTGAACAAATCTAAAAAGTGTCGCGATCTATGAATTTAAATGAAGTACTTATGCCTGCCTTGAATTATATCCAATCTTAACCATTAACTTCCTGATTGAAGCAATTAACATATTTAGGGCATTAATCTAAGCCCAAACACCTTTTAGACTTTTATAATTGAATGTCTAAATTAGAAAAACACTTATGCTAACTACCATTATATGATTTAGGCGATTGGGTCACTTAGCTACAATATACTTAATTACTGTTAACCATACCATACTATTTAATTTTATATGTTAGAGCACTAACCTCGATTTTTATGCTATGATTAATTTTTAATACAATATTTACAGGATTCCTGTTGTTCCTGTACAAGCCAATAAAGATGTGGATGATGTTTTCACATCGGATGTACCAAAAATTAAATATCACTTAAGGTACACAACAATATTCATGTACGCAGGATGACAAAGTCATGTAGCCTAGTAATCATGTTTTTAATTTCTTATTGACATCAGAGGAGCACATACTATTCCATATTGACACCTCTTACATTCATCATTGTATTTTTGAATTTATATGGATTCATGCCAGCATATTTTGTTTTTCATTTTCTTGTTGTTTTACCAGGCTATCAAATCTCCTTGGCCTTGCAAAATAAGTAAGTGCCTGTGCATCACGATTCGATTCAAAAGGTCAGTTTGTCTCAGATAATTAATGTATTGATGACCAGCTAATTGTGATCAATGGGTGAACCAAAGCTGATAAAGCTGAACCAACTTGGAAATCGAGTTTAATCATGGCAATAATTTCAATATCAAGCATAAATGTCGAGCATGAAATAATGACTCGGCTCCATCACTCTCTTTAACTTTAACTCCTCAGCTCTTTCCTATTTTCATTACATTCGTTTATATGATATCAATCGGTGCACTACCATTTGGGATTCGGACCATTTGGATTCGGACAATTGGGATACGGACGAATGGGATTCTGACCATTTGGGATTTGGACGAATGGGATTTGGACGAATGGGATTCGGACGAATGGGATTCTGACCATTTGGGATTCTGACGAATGGGATTCTGACCATTTGGGATTTGGACGAATGGGATTCGGACCATTTGGATTCGGACAATTGGGATTCAGTCGAATGGGATTCTGACCATTGGGATTTGGACGAATGGGGAACAAAATCACGTTGCAACCTTTCAAAATGAAACAAAATAAAATGTAATGATGGTGCACTTAGAGTCCAATGACGAAACATTGGCCTCTTAGAGAGATTGGGATAAAGGATCCATCAAGTAGGTTTTGACATCAGGGAATGATAGCTCGATGACAATATTACATTAGCTAACAACACAAGTGCCCTTGTTAGATAATAGACAGGCGCTAAATTGAAACTAAGTCTTTCAACAGACAATCCCAGGAAAAAATGCCAAAGTGGTTCTATTTGTCAAGTAATGGATAAACCTTTCACCATAAATCGAGTAAAAGTGAATATTAGGCCGCAACTCTATTAGCAATTGTGTCATGTCATTACGCTCAGTCATAACTTTGGCAACATTCTCAGTGGACTATACTTTTTACATGATGCGATATATAACCTCATAAGACGATCTAACGAATCCACCTTTATCCACTTGGTCCATTACAAATATCTACTTATTTCTGAAGTATTTCCATGAAATTGTTTTTCAGCATTAAAAGCCATTAGTACATTTAGGTCAATTGACTGAAATGGATGTCCGTTGATCAATTAACCATCTTACTTGCTGGTGTTTGGCAAAATAGATATGCCGTGTCCAGACCCATTTTCCTTTCAGAGCCACCATGAGCTGTAGAGTTACGATGAGAAATCCTTTTTCAGCATGTCCATCGCATCATCAATTTTTTATTTATTAAGAATATTTTATTCGTTTATATATTACATTACATACATTATATTGATACAGTTTAACGAAACGGATTGGACAAAAGGCTTTCGCGCCTATTCTAAGTCCTCTCCTTTGATTATTACAGTTTTATTTATTTGTGCAGGATGGGAGGCTTGGGATGAAATGAAAGAGTGAAAGGAAGGAACTAGTTGTTTGAGAATCTTTTTGTAACTCTTATGTAATTGTGAACAGCAGTGAATGTGGCTTTATGTTCACCTGTCTTCCTTCGTCAATTAAGGTAAACAATCCAATATATTAATAGAGTCTGAAATTATATGTAAATACATATTTTGCCTGCTTCTTCGTCATCAATTGGGTGTAGCTAATCAACACACTTTTCTTCGAACAAATAGAGAAGTTTTTTGTTGTTTTTTATTCCTTTTTTATTCATAGAAAAACATTTGAAAGCAGTTCTCGTACATTAACATATACAATATACATAATATCATTGAATAGGACCATTATGTATAAATGACAGAACAATTATCCTGACAAATATGTGGAGAATATTTAAAAGATATGTGTACCTGTATGCAAATACTCGATATTAAAACCTACCTTTAAAGGATTTAAAGCAAATGTTATATCTTATTGTAATATTGATAAAGGACCCACGGTCCTGTGCTCACACAGTTTGGAACCTTCAGAGGAATGTATATCCTGACTTTCAAACAATTATATTGATTTGGATTTGTAGTCTCGAACTTTGAGAAATTTAGATTGCACAGTTGTGTGACCTAGTTAGATGACCTTTGACCTTGAAAATTTTACTGATTCAGAGCTCAGTAAGGTCTTTTGGTCAAGAAAATTAATGTTTGTATTGAACTTTTCATTGAATTCTTCTTGATTCAAAATTCTATTAGACTGGTGAAACATATCTTGTAGTACAATTGTCTCTCCATTGGCTCTTACATTTTTCAATATTGTTTGGACATTTTGGTTCTTTGTAAGCTTTGCCCAAGTGTTGCACATAGCAAGTTCAGCACTCAATTTTGAATCATTATTTGCCTCTTTCTCTTTTTGTTCAGTGTATATTCTAAAAGTGTAAACGTGTAATCTTTCCAGAATTTATTTGAAATTTTTCTTCTATTTTCTTTAAGGATTTTGAATCATATGCAAAGAGTTTACGTTTTGAGTTTACATTTAAAATATTAAGTGCAATGTCTTGCCATGTGCCAGATTTCTGAACTTTTTGCAACCATGTCAATTTAAGTGAATGTTCAAAGATCTTGGGATCAATCATTTTTAAGCCTCCGTCGTCAAAATCTTGTACAATTTGTGAAAAACTTACGTTTGCAACTGTTGAGTTCCAAATGAAAGAAGTGAATAATTGTTTGATTCAAGTTTGATATACTTATAACATTTTGCATTTCAGTAATTTTGTTTTCAAAGTTGAGAGATTCTACATCTTTTAAATCAGAAGATAGGTTTATTCCAAGAAGTTTGAAATTTGTTTCCCAGTTAATTGGATTATCTTGGCATAATTTTTCTTTAGAACCTTGTTTACTACCTAACCAGATAGCTGACGTTTTCTCTATATTTAACTTTAATCCTGACGTTTCATAAAACATATCAAAAATACATAGGCAGCGTCCTAGTGATTTTGCTGTGCCATCTAAAAATACAAAAGTGTCATCTGCATACATTCCCATTTGAACTTCTTCATTATAAACTTTAATACCCCTAACTTCTTTGTCGTTTTTAAGTTTTGAACATAAAGGTTCCAGGCTAGGATGAATGCATAGCAGGAAAGGGCATCTCCCTGCCGACAGCTACGCTTTAATCCAAAAAAAACTTGAAAAGAAACCGTTATTTATAACGCAACTTTCAGACCAATTATATAGAATCTTGAACCATTTAGAGAAGTCAATACCTAGGTTACATTTGATCTGCGGCAACCGTACGGCCCGGGGGGGTTCACTGTATATAAACCTTAACGGGGATTCACTGTCTTGTAACTCTCATTGCTCGCATTACCTATACGTATCCGTAAGAAACATACGGATGGGTATATGCATACGAAGAGGGGGAGAAACCCCTGGATTCAAAGATGACGTACGTCTATAATGTAAATCTGTATTGAGATGACCCACCGTCCTGATTGGTCCAAATCGAGAAACAAAAATGGCGGATTCAAAATGTTCTAATAACGCTTCGAATAATATTACACTCCCCTCCAAAAGTTTGGCAACCTTAGATCCCTCATTGAACTACGTGTTAACTGTTAAAGCCTCTCTATGTTTGAATTTTTATTTAGTACATAACCTGCGAGGAAAATACTTATAATGTTGATGGAAATGTAACTTGACTTTATTACCAATGCCTCCAAATTTTCCCAATTTTTTCCTCAATTAAAATAGGTCGAAAATTGATGATAGATTTGATAATTTTTTGAAAATCGTCATTCTCATGTAAACCAATGGGAAATATTGGGTTCGGAGCAAATCTGATTTCAGGATATCTATCCATTAAAAGATTCAACAAAAATATTTTTATATATAAAATTGAATTTTGTAACTCTTTTGTACGCTAAATGTTCAGTTTACTTTATGAATAATAAAGTTACAGAGCTTCTAAAGTCATTTTTGAAAATAATTTTTCGCCACTTTGTGTTATTTCAATGGGAGGATTTTTTGAAAAGTAATTTTGACTTTGAAGACCTATAATTTTTTTTAAACCTGAAGAAACGTATCAATTTTTTATAACATAAAGTTAGCAAATTCAATTGACTACCTAACTTGTATTTTGCAAGAACTTGGATGGATTAATATTCTGTAATATGACTTACGGCAAACCTATAGTATACCATTTCCCATTGGTTTACATGGGAATGTCGATTTTCAAAAATTGATCAGATTTATCGTGAATTTCCACAACCTATTGTAATTGAGGAAAAAATTGGGAAAATTTGGCGGCATTTGACATGTCAAGTCAAGTTACATTTCCATCAATATTAAAAGTATTTTCTTCGCAAGTTATGTAAATAAGGCCCCCTCACATATGAACGAATCCACCAAACGCAGCCTGACGCATGTGGTAAATTAGTCATTTCTGGCGAATATTGAGCGAAAATGTTTAAAAATATGTTACATAATAGAAAACATAACGAATAGTAATGTAAGGTAACTATTTGTTGCGAATGTTTTACGAAGTGTGACGAATTACTACTTTTCTTCGCTAAGATGCGTTGCGTCTCTTAAACAACCTTTGACATCCCCTTCAGCGAGTAATAACGCATACATGCGAAATAAAGCGTAATTATGCGCATTCTTCCGAATCTGAACAAAGCCTTACGAAAAGCAGGAGGCGTCAGCGATTCCCGTCAGCGATTAACAACGCATACATGCGGACCAAAGCGCAATTGTGCGCATGCTTCCGAATCTAAACGAACCTTTGCGAAAAGTGTAAGGGTCAATTTACTTGACAACAACTTGTTAACCTATTCACACAACGTAAGTTAATGAAATATAAAAATGGCAAGACTTAAAAGAAAACCAACCGCCGGAGAACAAACCCGACAAAGAGGACACACAACCATCTTCCGTAGAGCCAAACAAGGCAGAGGAAGAAGTCACAATAGACAATAGTCCTCCTGGGTAAGATTCAAAACTTGTAAGATTCAAAAATTGTATGTCTTGGTTAGATGTAAATACGGATACACACACACACACACACACATACGGATACACTATGTGTAATTTTTACGCTCGTTGATATTTATTTTGTGCATTTTTATGTTCAGTGCCGGTGATATAGAGTGTGGGGCCAAAAGTGAAAACCGAGAGCAACACTCAGACTGTGCTGAATATACAAGGTGAAGATTTCTGTTATGTTAATCGTGACTTGTCACCACAAAATTCATGTATAATATACCAAATAGTAGCACATGTTTTGTTGAGATGTACACTCCCCTCCAAACGTTTTGAAACCCGTACCCCACCATTGGATTGCCTTAACGCCTCTTCAGTTAGAATCCTTATTTGCATAATAAGAAAATACGTTTATATTGAAAAAATTACATCATATCTGTTTTTATGACTTTCATGTAAACAATGGGGGGGGCAAAGTTGTTAAACATTTGTAGGCATGAAGTTAATGTTTGTTTTCGTCTTTCAGTCCAGCAGCAAACATGAATAAAGTAAAGAGAAAGAACACAAAGAGGCAGGATCACAAAATCGAAATGAAAAAAGATCCCAAAATAGAAAAAGAGTTGGTAGAATTCTATAAAATGAATCCATCCCTATGGGATATACGCCTTGAAGATCACCACAACAGGGACAACAAGAAGAAACTTCTCGAAGATATCTCGAAAAGCACCGGTGTTTCGGGTAAAAAACTGACTATTTATTCTATTTATTCAATTTAGAATTGATTGCAATTTCAAACCTGTGTTTTGTGAATATCCTGTAGATTCATGCATACTTTGACACATTCATGAATAATTAATGCTGTTTAAGGTTACTCTGTATGTTCGGAATTTTGATGCAATCGTCCATAAATATTTTCTCCCTGAATTTTCTCGGTTTTTAAACATTTTATCAAAAAATATCTCTACAGTCCTTTCTAGGTACATTAGTGCACTCTTTGTGCAAAACTGAAAGATGGAGAAATGTGGGAAAGGTATAATCCATATTTGAAAAATAACATGTGACTCTATGGAGGTTTGCATCAAAATTCAGAGTAAACATACATAGCAAGCTTGATGTCAATTTGCAGTTGAAAATATAGTTGGCTGGTGGAAGGGCATTAGAGACACATACACCCGTTTGTCCCTGAAAAAATCCGGCTCGGAAAGAGACGATCTCCCATACAAACAAAAGTGGGTGCTGCAAAATCTGTCGTTTCTAAGTAATAGACCGGTTCATAGGAGGACACCTATCAAGAGTGTGAGTGATTGATATTTCCACATACTCAATTGTAACTTAATGGTTAATTTGAAGTGAAATAAGCCTTTGTGATGTATAAGTGACACTTAAAAAAATCAAAATTAAAAACGGGCTTATTTTTTCGGAGTCGGAGTTGTTTGAAATAAAAAAAATCAACAAAGTCTGATGTAAAATAAATAGGTAGAAAATCGAGTTTATAAAACTAATAAGATGATAATCATAAATACAATGTATTGATAAGATAAAAACGGGAGTTTCAAGTAGTTTCCATTAGGCCTATGTTCCCGAGGCAATATAAATAAAACAATAAATGTATAACAATAAACAATGTTAATGATTTAGAACCATTAAGTAAATATGTTAAAACGTCCAAGGTTGCATAAAAGAAAATCAGTCAACTTAAAAATAGCACAATTCTAAACCAGTATTTTTTTCTTACCTGATAACATTTTAAATTATCCGAATTTTATGTTACTCAGTTAGCAGAGGACAGTCCTGCAGTTGACTTGAATGCAGCAGAGAGAGAAGCTGTGAGACAGGGGAAGGATGATGACTTAAAACGGAAAAGCAAAGGAAAGAAACACAGCGAGGATGAGGATAAAGAGATCACCATGCTTCAAAATACAGCGAAAGAGTCTATTAGTGTCCTTGAGTCGCTAAAGGAATCCGTCAACAAAGTTGCTGTTAAACGCGAAGAACCGTTTGATGTTGCCACCTTGTATGGACGGTATTTGACACAAGAGATGAGACAGATGTCCAAGAGACGTTTTAAGTTATTCCGTAGGGAAGTTGAAGCAAGTTTGGCAAAGTACAACTCGTCAACCGACTCTGAAGATGATGCTATCAAACCTCTTGCTAAGAAAACAAGCAGTTCTACCTCCTCCACCGTGACTCCATCCTCAAGTGGGTAAGTAAAACAATTATGGATTCATAAAATTATTCACTGCCACGACCAATTATGCGCATGCACTTCCTTAAACCTGCTTATTTTTTGGAAAAAACATTGACCGATTGTCAAACACTGTCAAACACTAGGTAAAGGAATAAAGGGGTAAAATTATAAAGTTATTCATTACTTTGTATTTGTAATTGGTAATTTATTTTATTTTCAGTCCTACCAACAGTTTCTACGCCTCTGGAATGCATCAATCTCATGGTGGTGGCTGGCAGCCTCCGCCTAGCAGATGGATCCCAAATCCACCACAAACAGCATCTCCCTGGCACAGTCAAGATGACAGATATATGCAGCAGTATTTCCAGCAGCAGAGGAAGCAGTTAACTCCCCAGATGCATCCAACATTGCAGTCCCCCAATCGACGATCGCTGATTAATGTCTCCTATGGTGAGTTCTACACATTGTGTATTATTCACATCCTTTAAATCAAGAAAGATAACAAGGGAATATGTTATATCCCAGACCCATGGGACGAGACTGCCATTGGATTCAGTGACAGTTTCTATCATATCGCATTGTAGTTTATTATTTTCATGATTTATTACATTATTCATGCAAAATTCATGCACCCAATTATTATTTCTTAACTTTTAGGCCAGTCTTCTCAGGGCCATGATGACTTATCTAGGGGTTCTTTACGTCCACCACAAGCTATCCCTATAGCCTCTCCTCTGACCCAGGCATTGCTGTCGTCTGGAATGGATATACTACTTCAGGAGAAGCCTACACAGGAACATGTGAACATACCCGCAATGCCCAGCAACCTACCTGTCCTGGGTGAAGAAGGGCTCAGTATGGATGTCTCTCTTGTTGGTAGCACCCGTCCCACATCTGCTCCAGTTCTGCCTTCTGCTTCGGATGCTTTTTCCACATCCGCACCACGTAGTCAGTCAAGTGCTTAGAGACTTAGTGACGACATGTTCACTGCTCTTGTTTTTATTTTGTAAATTTTGTTGTTTACATCTAAATTTTTTGTTATAAAGATATTTTCTAAATAAAGTTTATTCTCTTAGTATAATTATTTGTCTTGTTAAAAGCCAGATTAAGTATTTGTAATGTTGGTCATGTTTTCGAAAGGAATATTCAAAAACGTTGTTGCTGATTTGGATGTACATTTTTGCAACACCGAGCTGATCATATATGCCGAATTGGCGCCGTCTCTCTGGATTCAACCATTGTCTCCTCCAGATGCCACGTTCTCTGGCTCCCCTTCTCCGCCTAAAACGGCCTCTGATGAACTCATGAATGTTAAGTTGCTGCGTTAAAACTTCTTGCTGGGCCATAGCAGCCACATACTGCAGCCTGCAGCCTCAGTCGATCTGTGTCTTCCATGACAAAATAATTATTTGATTTAATTTGGTATTCTCTCAATTATTCAGCTTAACGTAGATCCAATTCGTAAGAATTCGTTCCACTGCGTACAAGGTTGCAAACTGCCGCAATGGTTCGTAATGGTTCGTAATGGGATCGTCGTCAGTCGCTTGATATGCAAATTATGGGGATACGACCTTATCCCCAGCGACCTGTAACGTCACTTGACGAAGCCAATGCGAAGGTTAACCGATCGTTAACGCATTGAAACGAATTTCAACGAATGACACACGAAACCTTTATTCGCTGCAATTTTTTGAACATGTTCAACATTTTCCGACGAAAAAGACTAATTTCAACCGAGGTAAACGCTGACAAACGCATCTATACGAACACTGCGACGTACTGTCACGAACTCGTACTAATGAGAACGAATTTGACTAATTTCCTATTCGCCACTATACGCAAGTTGACGTAAAGGGGTTTTCGTTCATATGTGAGGGGGGCTTAAAAATCCAAACATAAAGAGACTTTAACATGTAGTCCAATGAGGGAGCTAGAGTTGCCAAACTTTTGAAGGGGAGTGTACATGTTAATTTCTGGCGTGTTAACCAATATAATAGCTTGTTATTTCACATCAAGATAAAGAAGAATGTAAGGAATATGCTTAAATCGATTAAAACATCACAACGACGTATTTTATTCAAAAACTAACTGGTGAGAATTTGCGCAAACGAAGGTGGTACGCAAGAGACGTAATATGTCGTATTCCATACCTGATGAGGTTTCAGGGACATATCAACCGGGAATATATTCCATATCCGGGCAAATATTTTTCGTATGTCCCGCTCGGACAACGGAGCTCCGGGACATATAAATCGTATGTCCCGCTCAAAAAAAATTTTGAAAAAAATTTGAAAAATAAATTAGGGAAAAAAAATTGAAAATGAAAATTTGAAAAAAATTGTGGAAAAAATTATGTAAGAAAATTTTGAAAAAAATTCTGAAAAAAAAGTTGAAAACAAATTTGGAAGAAAATTTGAAAGTATATATTTTGCAAGTAAACACACCAGAGCATATGGGATACATGCTTATTATTTCAAACCTCATCAGGTATGGAATACAACAGTTATGCACGGTCGGTTTGGATACAGGAAATATCCCTTGGGATATACAATATATCTTCCCTTGGTCCCTTCGGTCCCTCGGGAAGATATAGTGTATATCCCTCGGGATATTCCCTGTATCCAAAACCTCCCAGTGCATAACCCCTATTGTCATCCCTAAAGCCCTGGGTGTTTCCCTACGTATACGCTTATTTAAACTCTCTGGTATATAGTATTACGCGTTTCCCGTATAAGCTCTCTAAGGACGTGGACCTTAACCTCTCTATTATCTTTATTATATTCCCCAAAGGCGTGTGAGGTTTGTTCTTTATTACAGAGGCGTTCCAATACAATGTTATATTGACTGAACTCACTTTAGACATCTATTTTTCATTGCGTTTGTATTTCTAGACACATCGCGGTTGAGAACGGCTTGGTACGTTTGAATCAACAGATCAGCACTTAAGCCAATCAAAGCTGATCAGCAATCTACAACATGGCTGTAATGGAAAACAGAATTCGAGTCACAATGTAAGATACACATACCGACTGTATGCCAATGATATTTCAAAAAGGTGAATCCCTTGGCTTTGATAGTTGTTTTCATATTATAGCAAGGAGGATTGGCTCCCAGAATCGAAGTCGATATTTTCCAACAATTAAAACGCCGAAATGTAGTTATTTTCTGAAATTATAACCGATTATAAATTCAAAATAAACAGTTCAAAAGATTCGAACCAATATCATTTCTTGTGAGTTTTGGAATTTTTCGTTAGGAAATAAGACCAAAATCACGATTCAAATGTTGAAGTGAACAAAATGGCGGCTGTTGGAATTCGAATTTTGTAGCACGACATCCCCATATATGGGACAGAATATCGATGTTTCACTCTGGGAGCCAATCCTCCTTGATGTAGCCTAGCTATAGTAAGATAGTTGGTGTATAAACAGCGATCCGAAAATGAAAGACTTTAATAGAAGTAATATATCATATTATTTTTGTTTACACAACAGTAGCTGATGGCAGAATTCATGTGAATGAAATTTCTGAAGATAAAAGAAATGCACTAACTGTTTTGTAAAATAAGAGAAAGCAAAAGCCGCCGAAGATTCATGGCCCATCTGTGTTTCTTATACTTACGATATACTTTATCTTCTTCAATCTCATTCCTAATTGAAATCATATCTAACTCAAGTACTCTGATTCTATTATATTATGTCAGGTGATAAATTATGTAACTGATAAAGGGCCGTATATTCTTAAGGGATGAAATAATCCGACGGAATAATAGTAGTAATCTCCATGGAAAAGTAATCATCCAAATAAAGGTTATTGAAGGACGTCTTATATTCGCTATGATGACATAAACGTACAACGTGAACGATAAATGTTCATTCGAGATGTTATGTCTGCCATTATAAGGATGTTTAGCAAAAAGGTCAGCGCAAACGCTGGAACAACGTGTCAAGACTCATACTCTTTGACTTACATCATTAATATAAAAGTCTCTAGGACTCAGCTGGGTAATATAAATGATGCAGTGTCTAGTTACACACGCGGAATAAAAAATCGAAGTTTAAAATTACACAATTAATATCGAAAATCTGTTAATGTACACGATAATCGGCAGCTGGAAATTTTCAATCTGATAAGATATGTCGCAAAAGTTATGTGATGACAGATCATATACAACCCAACAGGCATAGACTATAGATTATGAAGCCTTTTACCAAAGACAACATCGTCTCACTTTTCTTATATCCTTATTATAGATTTCTACTCATATTTACATGAAAAACAAGTTATAGTGTATTTATCAGAGATTATCGCCTGTAGAATCACCATATAGTCTTCGCCTAAGTGCGTCAGTGCAAGAACAGCCATAAAATACATGTTTTACCAATTACAGCTTTACAAAATCAATGCAAATACTGTAACCTTACCTACTCCTCCAAGTGTCGTTACGTTAGACCCAAAGAGCTGTGTCATATTCCATAGTTACTTTCAAAATCTAGTGATACGTGATATAAGACGATCAAACAGATTCAATTCAACAGATTTTGACAAACCGATGCATGAATTAGCTTCATAACAACTGAAAATTACATTTGAGCACTATCAAACAAGGGAAAGACGTTCATATTGCCCTTTATGTACATTCCGACGATGCCATGTCTGAAACTGGATGTATTGAATGACGATAGATTTTTTCAGAAACCTTCATAGCACTTCTGAATTCGTGACACAGGACACGGAAATCATGAAATGATTTTACTTCATTAGATCGAAGTAAAGATAATTCCACTATGACAACATTGCATCCATGATTAAGTAATAACCTGTTGTAGCAATAGAACTATCAGATTGAACGTCAGTGCTCTAATGCATATTGCTCAGCCTACAATTTTTCTTGGAAATGCTTTTATTCGATAATGTCACTTTACCGATCTCTGATCAAAGTGTGTTGGTTTTCTGTACGTAGCTATTATTCCACCACCTTCAGTTTACTCAGATACGAGTAGGTAGTCACCACTTTCGCCACCAGGTGGCTGATTCGGAAGAAATAACATGGCAGGGTATTAGAAAATTCCCTTAATAATCATCAGTTTTAGTGGTTCACTTTTCATATTACCCTTATGTACCTGATAATTATACAAATTAAAATATGTCCAGTAAAATAAAATATTACCTGCCCAACACAAGAAAAGATATTTCAGTTTTTGTGATTTTACAACATGGGGTCTATGGGGAATCTCCCCGACCTCAAGTCAACTTTTCAGAGAAAATTGTATTTTCAGAGTTGATAAACTCTCTACAAAACCACATTTCTATATGTTATTTTACATGTAGATTCCAAATATGACATCAGCTTGCCTGAATTTTGAATTTTTATTGAACCAAATCTAGATAATTTCTACAAGAAACTCTGTGAATGCAGAACGAGCATCTCGCCAAGGTAAATGATCCAAAAATAGTTGAAAGAATGTGTTTATATTTGCATGAGTTAGCCAGCTCGAATCGACACACACCTGATTTGAGATGTAAGAGGGTGCTTTAGTTAATGATGATGGCGCAATATAAAATACATAAATCCTAGAGTAGCAGATCAAATTGAACACCATATTATATAAAGATATACTATTAGTGTCACCTCGTCTCTTGATACTTTTTGATACTTATCTTTAAAAAATGTCTGTTTTAACGCCCGTAGCAATTTATATCTCTCTTGTGACCTGTCATTATATAAAGATATATTGTTAGTGCCACCTCGTCCATACTTTTTTTTAAAATATGTGCTAAGTCCAATATATAGCAAATGCTGATATTTTGCAAGCACTGAACGAAGAGTAATTTATATCTCTCTTGTGATAGAGCTGGCTACGTTAATTATGACACGAACCATCAAACTGTAAATAAATCTCATATTAAAAAATCAATAAAACCAGTTGCTTTTTCTGATTCGGATTCACAAGATGTAACCCAAACATTGCCTCATATCAAACAAGACAATTCGTATCCTAGTCGAAAGTAAACTTATTAATCAAACACATACAGTTATTAAGTATTGAAGGATTAC